GAACTGGTCCAAGTATGGTCGGAACACACTGTTCATAAGCTCCATGAACACTGCCGGGGCATTAGTCAATCCGAAAGGCATGACTGAGAACTCATAATGCCCATAGCGTGTTCTAAAAGCAGTCTTCGGAATGTCTTCTCTCTTAACGGAAATCTGATGGTATCCAGAACGCAGATCGATCTTCGAGAATACTGTAGCTTCTCTGAGCTGGTCGAACAGGTCGTCGATGCGAGGCAACGGATAACGATTCTTCACTGTGGCTTTGTTCAACTGCCTGTAGTCGATGCAAAGTCTCATGGATCCATCTTTCTTTCGAACAAATAACACCGGTGCTCCCCATGGGGAAACGCTAGGTCGGATGAATCCCTTTTCCAGTAGCTCTTGCAACTGAGCCTTCAACTCCTTCATCTCAGCAGGTGCTATACGATACGGTGTAGCAGATATGGGTTCCGTACCCGGAATGAGATTGATCGAGAACTCTACCTCTCTCGGCGGAGGCAAACCAGGTAGGTCTTCGGGAAAGACATCGGGGAAGTCGCAAACCGTACAAATGTCCTGCTGAAGTGGCGATTCTTTTCGCATATCCTGAACGTGACACAGGAACATCTCGCACTTCTTGCGAATCAAGCGCCTCGCGCTCAAGGACGATATGAACTCGGGAGCCTTGGGGAACACCTCCCCGGAGAGTAATACGTCACTACCGTCCTCGGCTCTCAGCCGTACGGTCCGACAACTACAGTCGACCACTGCTCTATGCTCGGTGAGCCAATCCATATCAAGGATAATGCCAAACTCCTTGTGTGGTAGCTCTATCAAATCCGCAGGGAATTGCTTCCCTTGCACGGACAACGGACATCTATGATAAATGTGATGAAGACGCATGCTATGTCCTAGCGGATTCGATACAACGGTAGGTATCTCAAGGTCACTCCTCACAATCGCAGAATTAGCAGGCATGCCAACAAAGATATAGGAGAGCGTAGAACCCGGATCAATCAAGGCATGCATAACCGAATCAAATAGTATGAACGTACCCAAGATAACATCGGGGCTAGGATCTGTGCGCCCATGCATGGCGTAGGTACGCGCTGGTGCCCGGCCTGACTGCTGCGGACGTGCTCTCTGCTGATTATTTGCGGCCGTAGACTGCTGACTTCGTGCTGGATGTGATGCGGCAGGCTGATCCGGAGCTCTAGGTAAAACAGGCTCGCTGCTAGGGTTTGTCGGGCAAAGCCTCCTGAAATGCCCTGGCTGACCACAACCCAAACATAAGCCTTGGGCGAGCCAACACTCGCCCGGGTGATGCCTACTACACTGTACACACTGCGGGTGGCTCCTCGTTCTGTTCGAGTTGCTAGCGGCGGCCGACGGAGACGGCCTCGACTTAATCCTCTTAGGCGGCGGCGCACTCGAAGAACCCTTCTCGTACCTCTTTCCCCCGAATCCAAAACTCTTCCCGCTCGGCCTGGTGCTGGCCGCGGGTCGCGGGTGTTTCGTCGCTCGATCCTCCTTCTTGGTTGCCTGCAGATCGTCCAAGCTCTTTTCCGTCTTCACAATCAAATCATACGCCGCATTAAAATCTGTCGTCGTGATCAGTGCGGCGTACGGCCTCAAGTCCGGCCGTAGCTTCTTGACGAACTCATTCAAACGATCCTCCGGAGTGGAGACCAGACTCGTCGCGTACTGGGACAAGTAGTCGAACCTCTGTCTCAGTTCAGGCAGTGAC